AAAAAAAATCTTCAAACTGAGCAGCTGCACTGACTGAATGCTTCTTTGGATTCCCAGCTGAATGATGCCTTCACTGTGTATAAAAAAGAGAAAGCAGAGAACGACAGGATGTTGAATGAAACAAACGACAGGCTACAGAGGCAGCTCACAGAAGTCCGCTCCAGCCATGCCAAGCTGACCTCTCAGCTGGAGTTCAGCAATAAGAGGTGCCTTAAATAAATATAATGCTAATGTGGTGGTAACATGACAGATTCTTATGTTGGATTTTGATGAGTCTGCTTTCTTTTTGTTCTTGCTTTTTCATCCCATGTGTGTGTGTTTTATGCTTTTACAGACAAACTTGCAATATAAAAAAAATTACGCTTCGTGCGAGATAGGGTTTCTCAGTATCACCATTGTGTTAGTGGTGGTACTGGACATGGGAGTGGGCTCAAATCCAGTATGATTGCTGCAGGAGAGACGCACATTAACTTGAATGCAAAGATATTATTTAATACAGACTGTGGTGTTAACTCTATTAAATAGAGGGATGGAGCCCTTATGTATAGCAGCCAGATCCAAGATCCCAGGAGCCCTAAACAGGCCTTTGGCACTGGGAGTGGTGGGGTGGTGAAGGGGTAAAGGTGCAACAAATTAAGACGATCATTGGATGATAGGAAGTTCCATGCACAGAAGTCAGTAAAATGATTGGATAATAGAAGAGGTGAAGCCTTGGTATGGATGTGGATGAGGCCGGCTGACAGTTGCCTTCCTGCTTGAACTTGCACTGAAAGCTCCTTTTCTAGGTGGCAATTTTATACAGTTGTGTTGTATACCTCTGTGTACGTCAGGTATGAGATGCTCCAGGAGACTGTATTAGCCTACCGCAGAGAGATCTCAGCGCTTCAGGACAGGAACCAAAAGATGGCTGCAACGGCCCAACGACATGAGCACATCATTCACACGATAAGCCAGGACCTGCGGCAGTCTAACGAGAAACTGGCACTGAGCGAGGTGAGGAGTTTAGCAATGGGGATGAGAACAGACGGATAATAAATGGGACATTATATATATTTTAAGTTGGATCTAGCAGAGGTGGAATCTAATGAATGATGGCATTGTTGTGGAGTAATATGGTTCCACTCTATGTAACTTTTCTTCTTAGGAATTTAATTTTGCTGTAATTCAAACTAAGGCACAATGCAAAATGTTTTGCAATATCACATTTTTCTTTATATTATAGCTACATCATAAAATCTAATTAAATTCAACCATACATTTAGTCTGAGAGGTGCAAAATCATCTCTCTGGGTGAAAGTAATAACTGCCAAAAGCACCATTTTTACCTGCTCTCTTTTTTTGTCTTCTGTTTTCCCCTCTGTATTTGCAGGTGCGTCTAGAGAACCTGAGTAAAGAGAGGGACATGTTAAGGCAAGCAGAGAGTCGACTCACTCAAGAGAAGGAAGCCATGCTAGCTGAGCAACGTAACCAAAATCTGCTGCTCATCAACCTCAAGTCTATACAGGTACCTATACTACTACTACTATACAGGTAGTATTTATTACATTTATTTGTTTGCTTGTTTCCCCGGTCAAATAATTGAAACATCTTTCTGGGTTTGTTTGTTTTTTTCTTTTATTTTTTTGTATTCATGTGCCTCATTTCATTCAGTAGGCCAATTGTGTTTTACTGCAAGAATGTAGGAAGCAAGAGTCAAGATGTGACACTAAAACATTATAATGGAATCTTCCTTTTCGCTGACAGTGTCATGAAGTTGCCAAGGACTTAGTAGCAGGCAATGCATGTGCACTAGTGAATTAGATTCACTATAGTCAAGGTGTAATGGATTTCCTATGCCATCTTATTGCACCAGCAGTGATTCAGTTTAGACTGTAGCTCTGTTTTATGCTGTTGTATGTTACCAAACATCCAGATGTGTCTTTAATTAATTTACTTTCTTTCATTAGTTTTTTTTGCCTCATATTTGTCCAGTTGACCACAGAGCGTATGGAGACAGAGACCCGCCAGCGACTGAACAACAAGATCGAACAACTGGAGGCAGAACTGGCTTCGATGAAGACCAGGCTGGACCAGGAAATAGCACAGAGGCATGCTCTGGGACGCTCTATGGATGTAACTACTATATATATTTTTAATGCAGGCATGTTTGTATATATACCTGAATAGGAGTCATTGTACACTGTGTGTAATAATATTGTTTTGTTATTCCTGTCGCCTCCACAGGCTCAATTACTAGAAGCAAAGAAGCAGCTGGAGACACAGAACACCTTGCAGAAGAAGACCAGGGAGTTGTTGCAGAGCTCTGAGCAGCAGGTGTCAGCTCTGAAAGCCCAGCTAGCTTCTGCTGTACCCTCTGAAGCTGTAACGACCTCCAGCAACACCACCACCACCCCAGCTACCAGAGCTGCGAGCCTCAGAGCACCGCTGAAAGGTAAACAGCGGCTCCGCAGAATACTGACTGTCGGTACTAACAGATATTACAGAGGTCTCGTGGTCAAAGATCATAATTATGTGGGGAAAGCAAGATTTAAAAAAATGTTCATCAGTAAATCTAGTCCCACTTTGTAACAGTTTATTGTGTCTGTGTACACCCACAGTACGCTCTCCAGGACCAGCAGCATCCCAGCAGTCCAGCCAGTTGGAGCAGGAGCTTGCAGAGGTGAAAGGTCACCTGCGCACTGCTGAGGAACAGAATAGTGAACTAGCAGAGCAGCTGAAGAATGCTAATGCTACTGTAGAGCAGTACAGAGCTGTGGTACTGACTCTGGAAGACAGTCTGAAGAAAGAAAAGGAGGTATGACTTCCTGATTTCTTTCAAGAATAAAGTTCTTCTCTTCTATTCTCTTTACAGTTTAAGTGCACTTGTCTGCACACATAACAGGCCTTCCACAGTCTCTAAAACATATCAAGAAAGGTCAAATTAGTGCACAAAAGTGTTTTGGTTAGAAGTCTCATTGACCACACAATTTAATGTTACATAATTAAATATAGGAAAAATATATATTAATATTGTGGGTCATATTGCCTAGACCTTCAAATGCATTTGTTTGTTTTGGAAAGGGTGTTAAATTTTCCTGTTGGTGGTCTTAAGCATTTTTTTTCAAAAGGTGTGCAGATGCCCTGTGTAAACTGACTCTCCTCACCTATTTTAGTCCCGTTCTCCTCTGGAGATCAGACTGAAAGAGTCAGAGGATGTGCAGCAGCAGCTGGAGAAGAGGATTTTGGAGGCAGAGAAAATGAAGCAGCAGGAGCAAGAAGAGAGGAGGAAGGCTGTGGATGCACTAGAGAAACAAGTATGCCTGTTTATATACAGATGCACAAAATATTCTTTGTGGAAATGGTCTGCACTTAGTGTTGTCACACTTTTTACTTTTGAACTGACTACCATAATCTTCCAGAGATGTCACACCTGCTGTTGCTTGTTTCTGTATAAGAATCCTTTTTAAGTTGTCTGTGTTAGGCTGTGCATTAGATTTTCAGATTGCATTTAGATTTTGTCTGCAGATAAAACAAAAAAAATGAACACAGCTTTGCAGAGCTGGCAGAAGGCAGGGGGTGAAATGCGCACAGCTATAAGAGGACTCTCTAACCTTCTGCACAAAAGCAAGTTTAAGACACAACATCACTTTCCCATAGTCAGGGGAAAACTGCATGTACAAGTACAGTACACTTTAATTGTGGAACAGGGCTTCCCTTTATCTAGGAAATCCAGCAGGGAGGATAACACCTCTGCCAGAGAGCACTCCGGATGCAGTACTCACATGACATTAAGTCTGCCAGCGATGCTGGGCGTGTTTCACCTCCATGCATGTGATGCAGAGAGAAGTGACATTCCTACCCTTGCCGCTACTAGTGTTCTGAGCAGCAGTAGCCATTCCACCTGATGTGAGAAGCAACTAGCTAGCCACACAAGCACACCACAACGTGCTAGCTTGAGAAATGAAATGCAGTAAGTTCAGGCACTGGTCCACCACAACTCACAAAAACACCCACCCGGGAAAAAAATTTTCTCAATGAAAAGATGCAGCTAATCTACACTCTCAAGTACCAGAAACCCACGTCCTGGGACTACCTTGACGGCTTCATTGGTGAATGGTTGAATGGGAATCACGTAGTCGAGACACAGGCAGATGAGAAACTGTGATCTTCACGGAGAAGAAATCGAGAATACCGTGCTAGTTATACCAGTTAGTTATCCCATGATGGTTATAAGGGGGGGGTCGGGCTGGTCCATGCAACTCAGCTAATTGGTCTGTCCCCTGATAGATGTGGTGGTAGTGGAGCTTCTGTGATTGGTCATGCCAGAAGGGGCTTCCCATAGTGAGATAGCAAGTGAGATTTGAAAAAGAACGCTCTGTTCCAGCTTCTCATATGTGTGAACTTGCTGATTTTGTCTTAAGTCATCTTGCAGCCTGCAACATTTTGACGGACATTTTTCATTATTTTCTGATGTTATTAACTGAACAGCTTATCAATTAAAAAAAACATTCTATAATTTAAACAAGTTAGTTATCAGCTCTGTAGCTCAGTATTGATCTTTGAAAGCACAATAAAATAGAAACAGTTGGACTGAATTTTTAAACAAAGTGTCTCTACAGTAGTAATTTTCCCTGCTGTCTTGTCCAGATGTGTGAGCTGCAGCGCAGTCTGAAGACTAGCCAGACAGAGCAACAGGAGGCGCTGGAGAGAGCTGCCGCCACCGCTACTCTACAGCAGAAGGCTACACAGGACAGCCTGCTGCAGGTCCATTAACACACACGCACACTTAGTTAGTATAGGTATCTCAACTTCAATTTTTTTAACTGTATTCACATTATTTTTGATAACTAAGAATACCCCATTCTCTGTGACCACTTGTTTTCCTTGTGGTTCTTTTTTCTCGTCTTCACCTCTTTTCTACTCTCTCAACTGTTTCCCCACTGTCCTCCTCTCAGACTAAGCTAGCTGGAGAGGCACGGGCTAAGTATGAGCGGGAGCTAATGCTTCATGCTGCTGATGTGGAAGCCATGCAGGAACTCAAGAAAAGATTCCAAGAAGAAACGACACAGAAGAGAGAATTAGAGGAGCAACTGAGCAAGAACACCTCCCTCTTGCAGGAGAAAACTGCAGCCTGGAATGCAGTGGAGCGACAGCTGAAGGTAGGAGGACTAACAGAAGAGAGTGGGCCAGGAACGACTGAAGAAACTAGACATCTTTGGCTCCACACAGTTTTATGTGGCACCAATTGGCTCCACTTTATACAGAATGTCAAATTTTCCATATTGTACAGCACCTTTAATCAGAATCAGCCTTATTGGCCAGGTGTGTTGGACACGAGGAATTTGACTCGGGTACAGTGGCTCTCAGTGTGTATGTACATATCCTTATGTACGGCATGTAATAGCAGTGGGCAAGTAAACAATATACCAATATAAGGCTGTATAGTATAACAAAATAAGCAGTATAAACAAAGAAAACAGACAAAGGAATGCTCTTTAGGAAATGAGATAAAAATAAGAATAAAAATAAAGACCTGTACGAGTCTGTATAATCTGTACAGTGTATATTTACAGGTATTGCACTGAGGGTTATTGCCCAGTGATATTGTCGTGGGTTGTCATACAGTCAGGGCTTAGGGGGAGGAAACTGTCCTTGTGTCTGGTTGTTTTGGTGTACAGTGACCTGTAGCACCGTCTAGAGGGGGGGGAGTTCAGTTTGTGTCTGGGTTGTGAGGGGTCTGTAGTGATCCTCCAACAAGCTAACCCTGCACAGTCTCACAGAAGAGTGATTGAGGACAGCGTTAACCAACTTACCGGTAAAGAAAGTGGATATAGCACACTGCAATGGAAGGATTACAGCCTCCGCCAACTCTTCAACTGACCGGTAACATAGCTGAAAATTGGAGAAAATTCAGACAACGTTTTGACCTATATCTGGCTGCAACCGGTGCCGACGAGAAAAGTGACAAAATGAAACCATGTTCCTGCACGTGGTTGGTGAGGAAGCACTGGAGGTTTACAGCAACTTTACGTTTGACACTGAAGAAGACAAAATGAAGCTACAGAAAATAATGGACAAGTTTGAAGGTTACTGCATACCCAAGAGAAATGTAACCTTTGAAAGGCACAAATTTTTCACATGTGTACTAAAACTGGGAGACACAATTTGTCCTAATTCTGTTATTCTCTATTTAAAGTTAGTTCAAGTGAATTAATGAATGAAAAACACCCCATAAATTTGAAGAATGTGTTTCTGATTGATGATTACTTGGACTCTGCTTCAGGAGGACCTGTCCCTTCAGAGTCGTCGCTGTGAGGAGCTGGGGAGGCAGAACACTCTCCTGCACCAACAGATGGATGAATTAACCATCAGGACTCGTCAGCAGCCGCAGCAGCAGCTTGACCTGTCTTTCAGTGAGGAAGGGAAGACCACTGAACAGATACTAGAAATACTCAGGTAATGCTGCAACACCTGCGGTGGTTGTTAACGTAGAAAACACTGAACATTGTAGGAAGGCCTCGACAGCTTTCAATCATAAATGTAATGTCTCCGTGTGAACTGATTGGGATCGAATTAAAAATATGTGCCTGTGCTATAGGTTTGTGCGCCGGGAAAAACAGATCGCTGTGGCTCAGTGTGAAGTGTTGGAGGGAGAAACTCTTCGCTACAGGCAGCGAGTGGAACACCAAGACAGAGAACTGAAGGAGCTGCTGGAAGTTTTGACTGCTGAGAGAGAGAAAATGCAGGTAGGACATGTTCTAATGGCCAATCCTATTTTGGATCCAGTTCCAAATTTGGTAAAATATCTGGATTTATTAAGCTACATGGCCAAACAAATCCCTCATGGAGTCTGTCATTTACATTCTTTGTTTAGTTTTACACTCTTTGGCCTCTTTCACGCTACAGACATCAGTAAAGAAAAAAAGAGGCCTTCTCCAGTGCACAGTGCGATGACTTAACAACTTAAGGTTAAGCTCCCCTTCTTCTGTGATGTTAACTCCAATGTCTCTTTTCTTTAACGTTGGGTGCTAATGCATTAGCATCATGCTCCCCTGCCACTACAGATGAGTTTTGCATAGTTGGCACTGGACAGTCTTCTTTCTGATTGTAAAATAATGTGCTCCCAAACTTTAGAAAACGTGTCTATCCGCTATTCTATGCTGGAACTTCTGACATTTTTCAAAGGTTTTGATACACCTTGCTGAAATCTTTACCCGGGATGCGGCTGCTGCTGCTTCTTTTGATTGGTGGCTGACAAGCCAACTTGCAAGGCCTTTGTCGCCACCTACTGAATTGGAGTGTGGAGCAGTAACACACACAGTCGCTGACCCAGCAGTGCCTGCTCTTGGCCGTCTCACACAGCTACGTGACTAGACCCAACTAAGGAGCAAATTCATTGCCAACTATTTTTATTATCAATTTTTATTGATTTTATCGATTAGTTGTTGTAGCCCTAGTAATAAGGCTAAAACATGCACAACTGGCATGAGAGAATAGCGATATATCAGTCTCTCTGTTTGCCCTCCTCCCTTTTCTCAGGCTGCAACAAAAACTCTGGCCCAGCAGGAAGAACAGCTGAAGAAGATGGAGAGTATCAGTGCTCTCCAAGAAGCCAACAAGATGCTGAAAATTGACAGAGATAAACTGGAGCAAGAGCTGCAGCAAGCTCAGGCTAAAGTAAGATCCATGTTTTGTATGTCATGGTCTGTCCTGTTCCCCTTTCACTGTTAGCTGTGAATTTTTTCACAGTGTTTCTGATCCCACTACACACTTTCACATAAAGTCACTTGCATATAGTGAGGACTCAGATAAGGTGTCAATACTGAAAAAGCACATACCCAATGCTGTGCTAATGATACAGTCGTCTAAGTTATGCACTGTCATTCAGAGACACTTCATAAACTTTAGCTGCATTTAACATCCTACATTCCCAATTTTTTCAACTTAAGTAGGTACTAAATGCAGATAAAACCAACCTAATGATTTTTCTAACACAAGAAATAAATGATCTGACTCTTGACGTTGTGTCAGCTAGGGATGTACTGATACCAGTATCGGTATCCAGTCCAGTGCCACCCTCTAGTACTGTACTCGCTACTCATGAAAGTTGTCTGATATTACGGCGCCGATATCACTTAACTGCAGCGTTACATTAATCTCACACTGGCTAAGCTGCTCATTAGGTGGTGGAGAAGAACATTCACTGCTTCGTGGATGTTTTAAGATGAGTGACGATGACAAAATAAAGTCAAATGTGAGCTCAGATTCTCTGTGTCTCTGTGACAGGGAGGGAGGGGCGCCCACAGGCGCACAAAAAGCAAGCACACACACATAGACAGTAAGATGAGGTGCAGTAGTTAGTATTTAACTGCTAGAACAATGCTCTATGTGCAAAATGGAGAGAGCAATTAAACACCTGTTTAACAAGCTGAACACAACAAGCAGCTTGCAGAAATGTGACATCTTCACTCTTCCTTTTACCAGATATAAAAGTACAAAAAGTAACAAAATAGCAAACCAGGGTGCTCTTTACTTGAACTTTGATACATGGAAGTTAAAAGATGTCAGATGAAAACTTACGCTCATTTTAATTTTTAGCTTTAAATAATAAAAAATGTAAGACATTTAAACACAACACTTGAATTAAATGGAAAAATAATGATCATGCAAAATCGTTGTACTGCATAATTTAAAAAAGTCAAAATTTAACCTTTAAAGAAGTAGGACTACTGTAGGTGTGGGCACTTTTTAACTTCAAATTTAAAAAAACATTTGTATAAATAAATTACTACTAACTCCATATATTAAATGGAAAAATACAATGCAAACAGATAGATTAAAGACCAAAATAGAGAAGACCATTACTGAGATAATCAGCCTTCTGACCATCCAAATGTGCCCCCTGAGCTGATGTTTGGGTGTGAACATTTTTAATCTACCTCATAATATCTGATCGGCAGCCCAGCAGTGAAAATGATGTCTGGAAAATACTGAGTGTACCATGTCAACCTACTGAAAAAGAAAGGGAGAGGATGGAGGAGGAACAGCACAGATTCTACATTCTATTGAATGTCATTGTGTGACTGCAAATTAGAGCTCTGTATATCAGTGCATATGATCAGATCAGACTCTTCTAATGTGATTTGTTGTTATATCATGTGAAATAAATAACACATCACATGCAGCCGCCTGTGTTAAGGTTGGTCTGTCCATTCTGAATGTAATGAATATAGCATTATATTTGTTGTTGTCAGACAATCCCAGAGATGTTTGTTTCATGCAAGTTCATTACAGGGTGGTGATAAATTTAACATTACACTCAGCAGTTTCATTATTGCTGTGATGTACTTTTATTATGAAATAGATTGATTTCATATAGGCTACATTTCAGATTCAGGGTTTGTTGTGGTTATTATGGATAGTTTACAAATGTAGATGTAGCAATCCATGATGTATTTTTTTTAAGTTTGTGTCCTGGAGAGAGAGAGAGCACATTTCTCTTTTGGGTCTTGAGCTGAAAAAGTTTGGGAACCCATGCTCCATGGACTTATGGTCAAGAACAGGTCTCTTCCCCTCTAAGCTGGTATAGTCCAGCTTTGTATGGTGTAGTCAATAGATGGGGACGTTGCCCCAGAAATGGTTACATTTTGTATGGTTGATTTCCAGTGTTATCAGTTGAGCTCTTTGTTATCCACGATGAGCATCTGGCATGGCATCCTGTTCTGTGCCTTGCACCATGAGCTAACAGTCTTTTAGTGTAAGTGACTGATTCTTAATTGAGGTCGCTGTGTGGCTATCTTTGTGAGTTTGTGTTGAGGTCATGGTATAAACTCTGATGGCCATATGATTTTGTGAAACTTTGAAAAAAATGTTTGAGGAACATCTTACCTACAGTGATGGCACAGCATTTGGGCCTTGGCAATAACCTGTTATCAGAGTGTGAGTTTGAGTATGCCCTCACTTAGCCGGTTAAATTTGTAAATGCATTTCTTTCTTTCAGCCCTCAGTCCAGACAAAAAAAATATTTTCTTGCTCTAAACCTGAAATTTTCTAAAACTCTCTCCAGATTGTGTAAATCTTAAAATGCCAGCTTTGCCATCATCATCATCATCATTGGTTTCACCATTATCATGTTGACTGCTAGCTTTTAGAGCACTACAGTGACTAACTACAGTGACTACATACAGTAAAAGGAGCCAGACGCCTGTTCCAGAAGTTGTTTTCCCATTTATTGTGTTCCATAAGTCTCCCTATGTCTAAATTCTATTATAAATATAGCCTGTGCACATTAGATAGTAAGGGTATTTAAAATGAGTGTGTTAGTGCCCATGGGTAACTTGCACATCTGTGAAGGCACCATTTAATGCTGAAAAAGTACATACAGGTTTTGGAGCAAAATATGCTGCCATCCAAGTGACGTCTGCTTATTTCAGCAAGACAGTGCCAAACAGTGTGGGTACTACACTGACCTCCCTGCAGTCCAGACCTGCCTCCCATTGAAAATGTGTGGTACATTATGAAAACGCAAAATACGACAATGCAGACCCCGGACTGTTGAGCAACTGAAGTCGTACATCAAGCAAGAATGGGAAAGAATTCCACCTACAAAGCTTCAACAATTAGTGTCCTCAGTTCTTCAACAATGAGTGTCCTCAGTTCCCAAACACTTTTTATGTGTTGTTAAAAGGAAAGCTGATGTAACACAGTGGTAAAAACACCCCTGTCCCAGCTCTTTTGGAGCGTGTTGCAGGCATCAAATTCAAAATGAGTGAATATTTGCAAAAAAACTATAAAGTATATCAGTTTGAACATTAAATGTCTTATCTTTGTGGTGTACTTAATTAAATGTGGGTCAAAAAGGATTTGCAAGTCATTGTATTCTGTTTTTATTTTTGTTTTACACAATGTCCCAACTTCATTGGAATTGGGGTTTGTAAACAATCCGAGCTCTTACACACACACACACACACTCTGTCGGTTGCCACATTTGATAAAATGGAATTCCTGTATATCAGTACTGAGTGAGAGTGTCCTCTACACCAGACACCAGAGTACATTGTTAGTTCAAGTAGGTCTTGTCTTTACACCCAGTAGTGTGAACAGAGGAACACGAGCAGTGTGTGTTTGGTTAATGCCGCACTATGTTGACAATGAAGACATGTTTATGTTCTTCATGGTCTTAGTCAGTACCTTAAAGGAAGCATTTAACTTTTCCTTTTTCTTGAACATACTGAACCAAAAACCATGATATGAATCAAATTATGAATTTTTTTTTTGTGCAGTTCCACCCCTAATGTTTTTCAGAGAGCAATTTTTCTTTATTCCCATGCTTCTCTACACCACACCATCTCTACCAGTGAGCACTGATGAATGTTGATAAAGCTAATCAAATCTCATTTCTGTGCATCAGGTGACAAAACTCCAGTCAGACATCAGCCCACTGCACCACTCGTTGTCTCAGCTATCAGAGAAAAACGGCTCCCTACAGGCTGACAAGAGGATTTTGGAGGAAGACTTTAAACGCTGGAAAGCCAAAGCACAGGTAACTACACAGCATTTGGGTGAGTATTCAAGAACATGGACAGTAGGTGGGCAACAGTGTATGAATCTGCATTTATCGTCCCTACTGCAGCTGCAGTGTGTTTGATATCTTTTTATACTGCACATTGAGAACAGGTAAGCTGTAAAAGTGGTCAACTAAACACTCAACTCAGGAAAATGGACTCTAACAGAGGACAAAACTAACCTACTGACTGAACACAAACAGGAACATATAATGGCTGAACAGACCATTTGGACAAACAAATACAAAATTAATACTAACTATATAAAAAGCAAACATGACAGTCTATCAGTTAAAAATAATAACACAACTAGCCAAAACAAATCTCCTGCCCCCATGATGTGGTGTGCACTTTTTTCAGTCTGATTGGCTACCCCTTGTATTTAGCAGCTCTGCTTCACAGAGTTCATCTTTTACTCAGGCCTACCCAGACATCCCTCCAGCAGCAGCACCCTCAGTGTGACTGCACAGAAGTTAGCTTGATGTGTGTGTGCTACAAATAGAAACAAAAGTACTGTTAACCACTGTAGTGCAGGGCTGTTACTGACATACTGTATGTGTCAGGGGCAGTGGCCGTCAGAAACTGATGATGTGCTGTTACCTGCACAGTGTTTAATACTGCCCAAGTGTTCTTATATATTGCATTATTATTTTATTATTTTGCCATAATCGTATATTAAAAGAGTGTGTTATTGTATTAGTTTTACGTAAACTTGTTTGTGTGTCCCTCTGCAGCAGCTGGCCAACCAACAGAAAGACAGTGATGTGGAGGAGAGACAGAAGCTGACCAGTGAGAGAGAAGCTCAGCAGAGACGCATCACTCAGTTAGCTGAAGAGACAGCCAAGCTGAAGACTGAACTGGCCAGGTGGGACACCCACTGACATGACACACACCCAGCACAACACAGTTCAAGCAAAAGTTTAGCATGAAGGCTGCCAAACTGAAGCACCCACTGAGGTCCTCTTTTTGTAATAAATCTCCTGTGCTTTGTAATTTGGCAACTAAAATGACTAAAGTAGAATGTACAAGAGCTTATATGCTCAGTGGCTAATACTGTAAATGTAGAGTCCAGGGAGGAAGTTTTAGTAAGTGGAGGATTGTGGTGAAGAGGCATGTGAAACCTTTACACCTGCATTCTGAAATATAACCTAAATAAGAATATTACTGTGTGTTGAACAGGTCCAGTGCAAGCAGTAACTCTGCTCAAGGTCAGCTGCAAGGTCTTCGAGACTCTGTGGCCCGTCTGACGGCAGAGAGGGACACCTTGAAGAAAGACCTGGAAACAAAAATCAGAGACATTCTGGAAAAGAGCAAGACCATCGCCCAGGTCAAGAAGATTGGACGACGCTACAAGACCCAGTATGAGGAGCTCAAAGCCCAGCATGACAAGGTGGGACTGTGGTTTGGGTTAAAGCCTGCAGTAGACAAATCGATGAGTATGGATTAAAACGAAAACAGTGACTATGTGTGTTTTTGTGTATTCCAGCTGGTTGCAGAAAGAACAGTTAAAGCAGGAAGCGAGGCACATCCGAGCCAGGAGCTGACTAAAGCCCAGGAGGAGCTGAGCAAGGCTCGGGAGGAGCTGAAAGAACTGAAAGAAGAGGTGCAGAAAAAACAGGAAGAGGTGAGTAGAAAGATATGTTAGATCATTGTTAACCCACCACAGACCAAAGGAGCACCAGGATTTCACCTATTTGTCCTTGATGTTGAAGCAAAAAAATGTTTAAACAGTGGGGTCAAAGTCTGAGACCATGTTACAGATCTGATATTATGTAAACCTGGAAATAATATGAAAGTTTGGAGAAATATTTAAGATTCTGCAATATGTCTAAGCAGCCAGTTTTAAGGTATTATTTGGTACTGACCATGATAACTCCTTTTTTCAGACCTTGAGTTTTGTCTCTTCCATTGAAGCACATGTTCAGGTGGATCGCCTCCTCAGAGGCTTGTTCTTTTGTTAAAGTCAATTAACTTGCACCCATTGTTCACCTGTTATAAATATGGCTATACCTCAAGTTTCCCAGAGAATCTTGGCTTATTATAGTTGAAAGCATGGCATCAGAACTAAGTTAAAGTGTCTAAAGTCAAATTGTTATTGCAAGTGATGAGGGGCTTTCTTTGTCAAATCATGGCCAGACTGAAGGATTCTCAGGGGGGCCGTGCATGGCACTTTAAAACACTGCAGAAACTGGATCATTTGTATCCACAACACAGGCAAACCCAAAGTGACTACACCATCAGAAGATTCGGTACATTAGGCTTTGTTCATTGAGACACAGAAAAGCAGCTTCATGACAGAGAATTTGCTAAATAAAGAATGAAAAACTGCAATGAGCAAAAGCACCATCAAAAACAAACATGTTGCCCTTCTGTGCTGCCTGAGTTGCTGCACAAAGCCTCTTTGAAAAACAGCACACCTTGTAGTATCACCAGTTAAGACATCACATGATGGCATTTGATGCTTTGGCTTGTCAAAATACAGTAAAGGCCATGCACGACACCATCTAAGACACAAAATGACATTATAAAATTTTTGATCAGTCAAAACTATGGTTCTTGATTGCATGATCACTGGGGTTGCACTGTCTAAAGACACTAAGTCATCAGAAAAGTTAAGTACTGTCCTCTTATCTGACAACATGAAATGATGCTAATCTTGTAAAACTCAAATATAGCATGATACATAAGAACACGTACAAATGTTCAAGGTTGGAGCACTTCACGTACATGCCTCTGGTTCGTAAACCAGGCCGGGGGAAACTCTGTAAATTGATTTGTTTAACTAGACCCAGAAGTGCCAGCAGGAGCTGGAGGTGGCCCAGAAGGAAGTCCAACAGTCCAAGGAAATGTTCCAGGAAGTCCAAAACCAGCTGACACAGAACCAGAACCAGGTGACACAGGTAGTGCAGCACATTTAAGTTCATCTGCGCTGCTACGAAGTTTTTGCTTGGTTTTGGCAAATATTATGGTGTCTAAGTAAATGTTAACTGTAGGCCAGAGTATATTGTTTTGTACTTCTTTTTTATTTTTAAAGAAGCTTTGTCTAGAGGCTTTGACTTTGAAAAAGAGGAATAGAGACTGCTTAAGCCCATATAGCAAATCTAGGTTGTCTCCATGTAGTGTCAGTTAGTGAGGAACATACATTAGAAAGCTTTGAATCACTGGTTAATTTGTTGCCTCTTTGCTTTTATAGGTACAGTCCCAGTTGTCCCAGACCCAGGCTCAGCTGCAGCAGAGTCAGAACCAGCTGACCCAGAGTCAGAAAGAGCTTCAACAAGCCAAGACCCATGCCCTGCAGGTAAGCAACACTGCCAGGAAACATAGCAACACCTAACACAGAGATTTATCACTTCGGTCATTTTGTGCTCACATCTTTTAAAATTACACAGCTTTAACCTGGATTTATATTTTACGTTTTAATTATCTTCAATGCTGACCTCCATTGACATCACAACAGACCCACCATAGTCAGCCAAACCACCTTTTTAAATTACAGGTGCAAAACCAGTTAAAGACAGCTCAGGCTCAAGTTCAGGCCCGTCAGAACCAGATTCAGCAGATCCAGAGGGAGCTGCAGCAGTCTAAAGACACCTTCCAGCAGAACCTCACCATTCAGAAAGAGCTCCAACAGACCCACAGTCAAGAAGTTGGCAGTCTCAAGACTGCTCTGAGCCAAGCGGAGAGCAAGGTGAGGACAGTTCTTTCTTTGTAATAGGGCAGAGACACACCAAGCCAATGTGAAAGAACTAGCGCCGGTGAAGGCCAACTGTTGTCAAAGACAGTTGGGTTGAAAAGGTGGCACTTGAACACACTGCACAGACTACAGCCAACTAGCAACATGCATTCTGCGTCTGCGTGGACATATATAACTCCACCTACCAGCAGGTGGTGGTATCTGTGTTTGCCATTCAGAAAGGCAAAGAAAAGGAGCTAGACAGGGGAAATAAAGCTGTAAACAAAGCAGCCGTTGTTTGACACAGCTGCTGTTTATAGCTGCTTGTAATTGTCTGAATGATGGAGTCCTACATCAGCACAGTTTTTTGTTTTTTGTTTTTTTTTTTTTTTTGTCTGAGTTCGAAGAGTTTTTTTTATTTCACCTTTGAGTTTTGACGTTTTTCTTTTTCCCTCTGTACTGTTTTCAGTGGTGGAGCTCAGCTAGAAAAAATGTTTGAATTAGAATCTGGTAACAGTTGGTGGGCTGTTTGGTTAATATCAATCAAATCTGATCAAGCCACAGTGTAGACCAAATGGAGCAGATCTGGAGAGTAAAGCTCTTCATAAACAAGAGCACTCAGAGCGCATTCCACCTTCATCAAGGCACAACATTCACTCATGCAAATAGGTTCCTTGTGAAAAATCCAGAGATCCAGAGTGTCCTAAAATCCTTGATACGGATCGGATCCAGATCACCTTTTAGGGTATTATAGGCAGTTATACTGTGCATCTTACCTGAACATGTCAGGGTTGTATCTTCATTATAGGCCAAGTTATGGTAGAAAATATGTGTTAAATGGAGTTTTCAGTGTTGACCTTAGTGGCCATCAGATCCGGAATCCGGTTCTGATCCAGATGAAATTTGGTCTGATGACAGACATTGCCACCCTACATAGGTCTGTCAAATTTCCAATTTCTGTAAAGATTGAAACGTTCACTAAAAGTAACTGTTAATGCTCAAATCCTACCTGACATGTTCGAGCCAGAATATGAAAGTGGACAGCACAATGAAATTAATTTGAATTTCTCATCCATAGATACAGTAGGTAAAGAGCAGCATATGTACTGATGAAAAGAGATGTGTAACACTCTAAACAAAGTGGGTAATTGAGAAACCCCATATTTTAACTGGTACAATGCAGACATAGTAACTTCTCCAGCCTCTAACGTTACAGAAACAAGACATTCACAGACATGTAACGTGTGTTTATTTATTTATTTATTTTTTTAACTCACCTTTAATCCCACCAAGTAGTGGAAACATCACTCCCTTTCAAGTAGCTCCAAGGTCGGTAAATCCAAATGGTGGTCGCTGCATCTTCCCCAACACGACCACATACCAAAGTAGTGAAATTAAGTCCAACAAGTAGTTTAGCACCAACAATAACATCATGGGTCGTTAACCAGCAATGAATTACATGCAGCAGACACACTGGCCTCACAGTCAAAACAAACAGGTACTGTCAGTCACCTCCTCAGGGGCTTCACTGGCTGGCTGCTTGTAGGTTAGACGCGGTCAGGTAAAAAAGCAAGTCAGTGTACAGGAACATTCCTGGACATGCAGTAACCTCAGGCCCTGTATTTTTCCTCCACATCCTCTGGTCACATTACAGCAGCAGGAGGGAAAAACCACATGCAGTCGAAAAATTCCACTTTAACAATGGCACAGGTGGATGTCAGGCAAGCTCTCATGAACGCGCAACTGTCTGGAGAATATGACCATTGAAGGAAATCCTTAAACTATCTCTTAATACTTTTTTTTTTTTTTAAGAAAAAAAGGTCTTGTGAGCGAGAGTTTGCAATACATGTGTAAAACGAGTTGTTTCTCCTTAGAAGTACTAGAACATACATACAGCTTGTTTTTTGAGCTTTAGGTCACACCTAAGAAGGTAATTCACAGTTGTAACATTATAGATGAGTCAGGAAACAAGGAAAAGTATGCCATAGGCTCTTTAAATGTTTATGATGTTCACCATCTTGGCTTACTATGTTAGCATGTGAGCTTTTGCAAATACGCACCATACAGTAAAGTACAGCTCAGGCTGTTATTACTTTTCCAGGTACTTGGTCATAAGACTAATAAGTGATTTTTATTTAGTTAGTGGAATTCTAACATTAGAGAGATTTCAGTTCGGACAGTATTGCCTATACTGGTTTTAAAAGTAAAACTAAATAATCTCTGTATCTGGGCCTGCCCCCCCAACAGGTGACTGAGCTCCAAGGCCAGCTGGACAGCCTGCAAAAGGTTGGGGAAACTCTTTACCTGGTGCACTGCATTCACAGCTGCTGTACATGGTGTAGGATGTGTTGATAAATCTGTTCTGTGGCATCTGTATCAAATCTCTCTCTGAAGTATTTAGAATTATATACTGTACACTGTGGATTTATGTAAAAATAAACTCTGCTACAGGTTAAACTTATTAATTGGTATTAATTAGCTGGAGAATAAATTGACATTGATTTTTTTTTAATTACCATAGATCGTTTTTAGTTCAGTCACAATCTCTACTTTCTTACATTTTTATCAACTTTTTCCATTCCTTCCTCACTCCTGTCTTTTATTCTCTTTTTATCTCCACTTTCGGATGTGTTCATATTTTCCTCATACGTACATGACATGTCTGCCCTGCCTCATCTCTTTGTCAGGTGGTTAGTGAGCGTGACGCCCACATCAAGCGTCTGCAGGAGCAGCTAGCTGAAGCTAACCAGGCTAATGAATCCAGCCAAGCCACGCAGGCCACGAGTTCCCAGTCCATTCAGACCGGTGATGCAAATGCTGCCAGTGATGTTAACCAGGCACTACAAGAGGATCTGGCAAAACTCAAACAGGAGGTACAAAAAAAATCCTGCTTTCTCTAAATCTTTTTTAATTTATTAACTGTTGTATTGATTTTGTTAATTTGAAGGACATGTACTAATCAGTAATAGTGTGGACAATTTTCTACTCCTGGGGCAGTTGAGAGGTCGGTAAGGTTGGATGGTAAATCTTTGCCACTGGAAAATAGCATGATTTGTATTTTGTCTGTATTTAAAATCAGCTTAAGCTGGATTAAACAGGACTCCACAATATCAGAGTTTGTACTGTTGATGGGGATGAGCAACAGGTGAAAACATAATCAGCATAAAAATGGTATGTCATCACCGATTATTTATATTCTGTATATTGAGAATAATGGGGCAGCATGGTGGCGCGGTGGTTAGTGCTGTTGCCTCACAGCAAGGAGGTTCCAGGTTCAGGGCCTTTAGGTGCAGAGTTTGCATGTTCTCCCTGTGCTTGCGTGGGGTCTTTCCGGGTGCTCCGGCCTCCTCCCACAGCCCAAAGACATGCAGGTTAGGTTGATTGCGACACTAAATTGCCCACATTAGTGCATATATATATATATATATATATATATATATATTATTTTTTTTTTGTTGTTGTTGTGAAAATAATGGCCTACTAAACAAGGAAGAAGACAACCCAGAAACCAAGCACAGAGTAGTTTTTGCAATCCAGTGCCCTAATATCATTCACCCCTTTCAGATCACTTTAATGTGTAATGTGTTTTCCTACAGCTGTCTGACAGCAAGAATAAAGAGGAGCAGCTCAAACAGCTGATGGCTGACAAAGAGGAAAAGATGAGGAAGGCCATCATGGGAGCCAAGACCAAAATCAACCAACTAAACAGTCAGTTCCACCTGCACTTACACACACTGAATTGCAGACATGCTAACAAAGAACAACTGCACAAAGAACCTTGTCTGCTGCATTATTTTAAGGGTAATTTGAATTTGTTATTTGCACCTTAACCTGTAGGTGCCAAAGAGCAGCTTAGTCAGGAGATAGAAGAAGTGAAGCAGAGTAAGGAGGAACTGGAGGTGAGAATGAACGCCCTCAAGTCTCAATACGAAGGTCGAATCCTTCGGCTGGACAGAGAGCTGAGAGAACTGAGAGAGATGCCTGCATACACTGAGTCCAGAGAGGAACCACAGGACCAGAGTGGAGCTAAGGTACACGCATCATGATGGCCACTGATCACTGACTTCACCACCTAAATAGACATTTTATATAAAAAACCTTCCACCAGACATTTGAGCCACAGAGCTCACCCATGGCATCAGAGTGATCAGAGCGTTGTGGTATGTTGTATATTATGTTACTGCTCCGCTGGTATACTAGTAACTCATGGCATGTGAATATGTGAAAGAGTCATATGAAGAGGTGAAGTGACAGAGCGGAGCTGTATACTGGTCAGTGGAAAGTGACACTACAGTCCAAACAAGGAAGGGGAAACAGCAGGCCTGTTTTCACCCCAAGCGCCCTACTGTATTGAAATATGAACACTGACTTATTTTCTCAAGATGTTATGAATGTTTTTCTGGACTAGTTAAAACTTTTCCCCCTTTAATATTGTGACTTTGTTTAATCTTCTAATGGTGTGACTTTGTTTTGAGAGTATTAAGACTTGATCATCTAGACCAGGGGTCGGCAACCTTTACTATCAAAAGAGCCATTTTGCCCCCTCTTCCACTAAAGAAAAATAGTCTGGAGCCACAAAACATAACACAGCTTATAAACTTTTTAAAGTCTTTTTGTAATTTTACCTGTTATAACAGAATACAACAAACCAA